GGCACATTTCAAATTATTATTTCGGTCAGAAAATATTAACTATTTTACCCCAAACCAGTGATAATATATTTAAATAAGTACCATTTATGTTTCTATCAAAAAGATTTAGGGAAAAAGGTAATGTAAGTCCACTGCTGTTTGTCTGAATTTGCAAGCCACAAATTGACGTTTAACTATGATTATTGCATGGCCATTTTCTTGTGAAATATTAGTGCTTGGCATTTCACACTTACCAACGACCACCCCCCAAAAGTACCATCTCTGAACCATATAAGCACCTCAGAATAGCCAAAGCTTTTATGGTTTGGCAGATAGCAGTATGGCGAATGCGTCGTTTTTGGGTGTGGTCAGTTTCAGACGTTTCGCCCCGGATTGGGGTTCGGGCAGCATTACCATGTTGACTGTCATGGTCAACTTACCCTAAAACAGTTGAGGTTATCTGCCCTAATTGAAATGCATACAGACTCATATGCAGGTCCTAGACTAAAAGTGATGGTTAACGTTCAGGGTTTTTTTAAGTCAGATTTCATTCAATGATATTCTCCTCACGTTTGTAAATTTAGTGTCGATATGAAATCATAACCATCGTTTTCCTTACTTATAATATTTAGAGGACGTTATTCATAGAAGTTTTACATCTGGAGATAAAGTAGATGGAAAAGCTTTAGACAGAAGCAGAGACATCGCGACTGCAATATATTTCGACGATGATCAAAAGTTGAAGGTATATCTTGGCACAGGTAGGTTGAATAAATAATTCTGATTCATCAAGTAGAGGGGGGCATGACTTTCGCCGATTTAAAAACTAGCAATCACTAGAAACCACAATTTTGCCTTAATTTATATTATATATACATTACCAGGCTAATAAACAATTTTTAAAAAATTAAGGCAAAATGTAAGAGTTTATGATTGAAAACAGTCCATGCAAGCGAAATTGCAACCCTTTGAAATATGAAAAAAGCATTAAAACGAGGCTAGCTAGGCTTGTTTGCTACATCTAGCATAAACATCAGTATTTTTAACATTCAATTTCTCAAAGAAAATGGATGCCATTATATTCATTAAAATATATTATTTAAAATACTTGTATCTCAATCAATATTGCATGAAAGAACAAGCGTCATGCATACACAAAAGATTATATATTATATTAGAGAGTACTATAGCTGCAGGCTCCAATTAAGCGTTACTGTAGTTGAGGCGTTTTACTCATATACAGTACCCTTCCCTAAACTTATCCCTAACCTTAACCCTAACGACGCGTATACTTAATTTTCACACCAGTTTGGGTTTCTGAATGACGGTTTTTTCTTGTAATTCTTATTCATTTCATTCTTGAAATTCACCATCAGTAGAAGGTCAACCTTGACACCATGAAATAAATTCACGCGCTCCAGTCGAATATTGATGACTTCCCAATGCTTTCCTTTACCCGGTTGTAAATAGCCGAGCGGAATTAATACCCTCGCGAAATTAATACCCTGAGTTGGTCAATTTGAGATTGTAGGCGCGAGAGTATGAAGAAACATTCTTGCATAAACATGACTGTATGATGATTATCTATTTTCTTTGCTCTGAGTTTGGTCAAACCTTGACTTTATACAATGTTATTTGTAAAGGTCCACCATGGTCTAAAAGTGAAATTCAACGCCGTTTACTCGAAGCAGTGGAGTTGAACAGTTTAAAGTGTTTGGATGTACTCTGCAAGAAATACGAAAGTGAGGAATTTTCAATGGAGGAAGATGTTGTACTTTTTTACCGACGGTATGGTCTTTCTTTCTGGCCATTGAATGAACGTCCGAAAGAGACAGCCTTACATGTCCTTGCAAGCAAGCTTACGTCAACAAATGCAATTGAAGTTTTGAAAAGGAAACGGAAGTTCCTAACTGATTTTTCAGATGTTCCAGATAGTCATGGATCTACACCACTTCTCCTGGCAATAAAATGCAACAATATTGAAGTAATCAACGAGTTGCTTCGGGCAAAACCGGATGTAAACAAAAGAAATCGACATAACGAATCTCCTCTTCATGTTGCCGCCCTAAACGACCATGACCATATTATAAGAGAAATTCTGAAAACATGTAAGTGTAAAGTGCTTATGTTTGTCATGTTGTCTTTGAGTTGTTCACCGGGAAAGCTGAAAAGTTTGCTTGACCGCGGTGGGAATCGCATCCGCGACACTTGGTTTGAAAATTCAAAAATTCTGAAAAAGACACAGATATCGAAGGAACTAGACTGAGTTCCAAAATATCACCCACTCGAACCGACTTGACGTAGCTCAGTTGGTAGAGCATTGGATTGGCAAGCCAAGGCCGCGGGTTTCGATCCCACCATAGTCAAGCAAACGCTTATTAATTAAACTTGCCCGGTGTGAACACACTCAAACATATATCTTCACTTGAGTGCATAACATCAGAAACAAAAAAGAAATATCATACCTCAACTTCAAATTGTCCAATCAGAAAGCTCAGTTTGTGGCACTTGAGCATGAAATTAATGCCTTATCACGCCTTACGTCATCAATTAGCAATTAAGCCTGCGTTCTTTTTGACAATGTTCCACCCCATGTTCCCTGGGGGACATGGGGTTGATCTTTATTCCCGCGGATCACACGCATGACAACAAGATGGCCGCCAAAATAATAGTAACAATACGCCTGCTCAGGCGTTCACACTGGCCTGATTGCGCTGGTCATATTCAGCAAATTTTCAGCATACTTATACTGAAAGTACTCAGGCTCGGTGATTATCGGGGAATATTCACCTCGACTTCGTCTCGGCGAATATTCCCCAATAATCACCTCGTCTTCGGCGAATAATTGTTAAATAAAGGGTAAACCAATCTGACCATGTTATCGTGGGTTAAATATTCAGATTATAGAATTACTTTTCCTTAATCAATAAAGATCAACAGCTTTGTTTCTTCTCACCTTTATGCATAAAATGTGATTCGTGTTTTTGAACATTTTATTTATATTTACTTATTTATTACTAAATAAATGCGTACACATTTACCGCCTGGAAAACCACTGCAGCTATTGCTAATTACTTTGGTACAAAATCTGGCATTGGAAATTTTATCACTTGTCAGACAATTAAGAGAAGGGCAGATGTCTGAAAAAATTAACCCTTTATGTACTATTTAAAAAACGAGCAGGAGTGTTTTATTAGGTTTAAAGCCACGAGCGCACAGCGCGAGTGGCTTTAAACCTAATAAAACACGACCTGCGAGTTTTTTAAATGGCTTCAAAAACGTTTGCATAATAAGTCAAATCTTTATATAAAAATCTTTATATAAAAATCTTTATATAAAAATCTTTATATAAAAATCTTTATATAAAAATCTTTATATAAAAATCTTTATATAAAAATCTTTATATAAAAATCTTTATATAAAAATCTTTATATAATTTGCATAACAATGGTCTTTTGTTAAAGTGTTCTGTAGCTGGTATAAAGACGTATGCACGTGACTAATTTCTTACTCAAGATTGGATAATTGCTTCATGAATTATTAATGAGTTTTTGAAAAACATTTTATTAATTAATCAGACATAAATTTTTATTAAAACAATTCAAAATATTTCATTAGATTCGGAACCTGGAGAACGCACTAATCTTCTAGAAATCATGAAAAATATCGACGGAAAGGGTAATTCAATTCTCTACTCAGCCTCTCAGAGTGGGATGACAAAAATACTAAATCTTATTATGGAATATGATTGGTGGAAGGATTGTCTAGAGCAGCAGAAGAAGTCTAAGGAGCAGGATTGGAAATCGGTTGTATGCAACGTTTGTGCTGCAGGATGCGTATGTGAAGGTCTTGCGAAGATCACTTGTCTAGAGCGGCAGAAGAAGTCTAAGGAGCAGAATTGGAAATTGTTTGTATGCAACGTTTGTGCTGCAGGATTTGAAGGTCCTGCGAAGATCATTTGTCTAGAGCGGCAGAAGAAGTCTAACGAGCAGGATTGGAAATCGTTTGTATGCAACGTTTGTGCTGCAGGATGTGAAGGTCTTGCGAAGATCATTTTGCAAGAAGATTCTGGTCTTCCGTTAAAATGGGAGGAAGAGGTTACCCCTCTTATGAGGTAATAAAAATGTTTTTTTAATAAATAATTATCGCATTCAGACCTATTAACAGTTTCCGGGCTAGGCGGGATGAAAACGTCCCGTCCACGGTGGCGTAGCCGTGCAGCCCGATGATTCAGTCCCGCTATGCAAATATTGCCATGTTTATAAACTATCAACACAATCAAATTTTAAAAAGTGAATAATGATAATGAGTTAAAATTTGCACAGCGGAACCAAACCGTCGGGCTGGCAACGCCACTGCCCGTCCATGCAGGGATTAAAATCGATTAACAGGGGGTTAATCAAAGTTATAAAACCACACTCCCTTTTATTCCCTTCTTGAATTTAAGCAAACCTTAATTGTTGGTCCCCATTTTTCCTATTTCAAAGAAAAAACGTTCCCTTTGCAATTGCACCACATCCTTCCTAGTGAATATTCCTTAACTAGAAAATACATGCATTCAGAAACTCTAGCCATTTTCATCTCGACGTTTTTTGTCTGTCAGAAAGGTTTTGAAATTTACCAAATCGTGCAAAAATACAATTTGCAAGAAATGTTTTCAAATTGATTGTCAAATTTGACCAATCAGTGTTCACTATTCACGACAGTTCGCTACATATTTTGAGATCAGTGAGGATGACCACCCATGAACGGTGGGCCATGCGCCCGCGATATTTGATGAACTTTAGACTTCGCTAGTGCGTTCCTTTCCCCTGGTGTAAATAGCCGGGCGGAATTAGTACCCTCGCCCCGGGCTTACTGGCTCGGGGAAAGGGCATTGTGTGCAGATTGTCTTCGCAATTTGATTACGCAATCATTATCAGTATTATGACTAAGTAACGAGTTTAGCTAATGCGCATATTCCCTAATGAAGAATTGCATGGCGTAATGCATGGTACAATCAGTACCAGGACTGTAGTATTAACTAGAAATTACATGCATGCAGAAACCCTCGCCTTGCTGACAAAACCATTGTATTTTCCGAACATGAAGTATCTAAAGTAGTTGTCATGGTAACACGATAATTTTTTAAGAATATTTTTGCAAATGAAAAATCGCCTAAAAATATCACTTTTAATTACAAATTTATCAATTCCCTAAACATACATATGTTAGGTATGTTATTATACGTAATATAAGCTTCAATTTAAGGTAAAATTCAACCACAAACGCTTCGCAAAACGTTTTAAAGTGTTTTTATAAAACTAAACTGCCTTTAATTCTTTAAATGGCTTTATCATTCAATAAACTTTGAGTTTGCAATAAAATGATTTCAATGCAGTCGTTATAATGCAAATTTTAAATTGGACCAATCATTGACAGTCCGCTATATTTTGAGATCAGTGAGGATGACCACCCATGAACGGCCCACGCCCGCGATCATTGATGAAATTTAGACTTCGCTAATGCTTTCCTTTTCCCGAGGGCATATATCCGTGCGGAATTAGTACCCTTGCACGGCGCTTCGCGCCATCGGTTCGGGAATTATCCGTATTAATAAGTCATTATTATGCGTTCCTTAACTTTTCCACAGAGCGGCCGAAGCAAATAAACAAGAAATCGTTCGGCTTATATTTGATATTAAAGCGGATCGCGATCTCTTTACAAATTGTGACAAAGATGGCAGAAATGTTTTCCACTACGCTGTGAAGAATCCAAAAGTTCTCAAATTCTTTCTTGACCAGTTTGAAAAGGTAGGCGTTACTATGTTTTTATAGTAAGTATTTTTATAGTTCTACGATATGTTTCGGCGTTCTACGTCTTGTCAGTGCAGCTTGGTGCACTTCTTATGGTGCACATCGGTGCACATCATCAGTGCATCTTGATGCATATATATATATATATATATATATATATATATATATATATATATATATATATATATATATATATATATATATATATATATATATATATATA